TCTACCCTTCCCCCCCCTCCAAACCTCGAGTTTTTGGCCTCTAAAGATAATCACAGTTTTCGCACCTCGTTTAAGTGCGTGTCAATCCGGTTTTGCCGCCCATCAACCTGGCAAGTCTCATGACGAAGAACTCCTTTGAAATTCGCGTTGGGTGATCCATCGGAGGAAGAGTGATCCATCTTGCGTGAAGACTCTTATTTCTCGGCGTTTTGCGAAATGTGCGAGAAATTCTCTTTTGTTGTGCAATGCAAGACGCGATGTTAACAAAATGCGACGAAAGCCCGCGTTAAACTTCATCACTCTGTTGGAGGCCATTACTCTTCAGTGCAAGTTCCCATAAAACATTTTTTCAGCCGTATCTCGCTCTTGTTTTTTAAGTTTTTTCAAGTAATTTATCATTTTCTTTTTCTGGCTAATTAGACATAACTGCTTCCTCTAACTAAAGAGAAAATTTTGATCAGATATTGTTAACAGTAACCTTAAGCTCCGTAATTTCTGCAAATGAATTTATTAATAATCGCAATGAACTCGATCATTTGTTGCAGGGTAATCCATCTTGCGTGCACCCTAGTCTTTCACATCACTATAATGCGCGATATGGAAAAAATGGCAGGCTGGCTCCGCTTGTCAATCATTTATATCTTTAGCGGTATTGGTGGATATTTATACAGTGCAATTCTTTTACCGTATCAAGCTGAGGTAATTGACTTTTGTTGTTGTTGTGAATTTTATCAGCACTTTACGGGTAACTTTTTTTCAATTTCAATTGTAAACCGCTGCAGGCTCTTACTCGATCAGACGGGTCTAGCGAACGAGCTGGAAAATGAAACGCAGCGTTAACACTCACGAATATCTACAGTCACTGTTAAGAGTTACCTGTCTGCCTATTTTTTTTTCGTTTGATTATCTGTCTGTGTTGTTTCCTAATAGTATTTCCCCAGTACTTAAAAGAAATAAATACGAGTGAAACCATTCCGTCCTTCCTTTTTTCCGTAGTCCGTCTACCAATCTGTCTCCATTTTAATCATTCCGGTGACCTCTTTATTCATCTTTCCCTGCAAGTTTCTTTTTCTGTTCATGTTCATATCCAGTTATTCTTCAAATGATTTTTTATTTCATTGCAGGTTGGCCCATCAGGCTCCATCTTTGGAATCATCGCCTGTCTGTTTGTTGAGCTTTTACAGAGCTGGCAGATCATAGCGCGGCCTTTCACAGCTCTCTTTAAACTGTGTGGACTAGTTTTGCTTCTCTTAATAATAGGCCTACTGCCTTACGTCGACAACTTTGCCCACATGATTGGTTTCTTGTTTGGGCTTCTGCTGGCTTTTATTTTCCTTCCGTATGTGTCGTTCGGCCAGTTTGACCGAAGGCGAAAGCGGATCCAGATAATCGTGAGTTTAGTATTGGTCATTACGTTGTTCGTGGTAGGATTTTTGGTGTTTTACATCAGTCAGGATTCCGGTTGCAATGGCTGTGAGTACTTGAACTGCATTCCCTTCACCAGAGATTTCTGCAAGCTAGGAGGACAGAATCTACAGCCAAGAGTACGGTAGAGAGATGTGGAATAACAGTTCGGAAAGTGTATCGCTAGTTACACGAAGCTGTTGCTACTGGAGCAACTCATCTCTACTAGCAAAAATTGTTGCGTGGAAAGTAAGCTCTACAAATGTGCTGTTCAAATGGTGCTGAGAGATAACATACTGAATTGTGTGTTCTCTAACTTGTGTGTGAATGTAACAAAGAAGGCTTGTTCCTTACGTTCTCATGGCAGAGAATTTGCGGTGTATATGCTTTTTGGATTTTTGCTTCTCAGATGTAGCTATCTTAGTTAATATTAATGCGAGAGAGTACCTTTTGGTTTTTTAGAACGTTAACTCTAAGAGAAATTTTCAATTGCTTTGGTTTTGCTTTACTTCGCTGTGTGATTGGCGCAGAAATCTCGCTCCACTTTCTCAACCAATCAGATTCAAAACTAGAACCAATCGCAAGTTATAGTCAACCGCGCTTCAACCTGTTTGCGCTACTTTGAGTCTCATTGACTACTCATGATATTTTCCTTTGTTGTGATTGGTAGTTTTGTTTCCTTTTTTTTGGTTTTAGGACACTCAATAGGCCATTTTACAGTTGTGTACTTAGTTGCAAAGCCTTTCCTTTGGAGTGAGGCTGAAGGTGACCTCGTTGTGGTAGACACCAGTATCAAGTTCGCATGATAACAGAGTAATTTGCATTTGAAAAGCAGCAACGTGTGTATCATAACAACTCACTCCTGTTCAAAGGCTTGGCAACCAAGCACACAACTGTGAAATGGACTATTGAAATGCACTCCTCTACTCACGACTAAGAGTTAAGGGTACTTGTTTTCATTTGTCGCTGCCTCCAGTCAGAGGCATCAATTTAAGCACGAACTTTCTTTCTCTTCGATAGTCAATCTTTTTTATAAATCAAAATTCGTTCAGAATAAAACGTAACATTGACGGAGTGACTCAACTAGCTTAGCAGTTCTAGGAAGTATAGGTATTATTGTAAATTGACCGCCGGATCTGGCAGGCCAGTTCTGACTAATGATAAGAAATTAGTATAAAGTTCGCGGAAGTGTGGACAATTTAGATGGTCGTGAAATTAATTCGGCTCACTTACATTACTCTATTGGTTTATTGTTATCAATCGTTGCTTAAAACTTCGCGGATAAATTTTAAGTTATTCAGACAAATCAGCTATCCCAACACGAAAAAAAAAAAACGACAACAACAGCAATAAACATTCTTTTCGTTAGGATTTTGTGGGTGGCTAGGGTAGACTGGAAAAGTTTCTAGAAGCTAAGAATACTTAATTATGTTTCAAAGTCTCAATGAGCCGCGTGTTTATCCAGCAATGCAATTGTAATTTGAAATTTGACAAATGTGCTTCAAACAATTTTTACTTAGATTATGACAGTCACTGGTGCCTAATACTCACTAGAACGCCTGTTGATTAAATTTCACTCATAAAAAGTCGTCTCAAATATATGATCTGATTATTTAAACAAAGTTTTGCTGTCCTTAACAATCCTCAATTTAGCTGAACCTTTCATGTGAACATTTATTATTGTTAGCAGCGTCAAGAAGGCCGAGAGCTAAAATTTATTTCATGCATACTGAACGAACGAGAGTGAAAATACACTGTTCGTCCAATTTGAGACACGAACGATAGAACTTCACAGTATAGGGCAACAAAATGGCTTCCAATCTTTGAAATGTGTCGGTTAATAGGAAAAAATATCTGTATGGATGAAATAAAAACATCATACTATGGAAAGTGCTTGAACGATTTTTATTCATTCGTTGCAATGTATCACAACTCGTTCGTGCGCACTTTTCATTGAATAATCTCTGTTTATTTAATCAAATCAACCCTCTTACAGACAAAGTCTGAGGCCCACTGATTGTGCAAAAACCGTGGTTTGAGTTAAACCTCGGATAAATAACCGGCCCATAATGTCGGTGACCTGGGAGTGAAATAAAAAACTGCATTCAGATTAAAGGGTGAGCTGCAATTCACCCTGTACTCAACATCAATATGTCTATCCTCCATTCTGTTCTCTATACATTCCTAAGGTGCTAACGAGGGAAAACCGTTTTGGTTATCATTTCCTTTATTCTTTGATTCAGGGCTAATATTGTAAGGAAAATTACATGCCAGTGATTACCTCCTTGGTTTCATAGGGTTGAAGAAATTGCAGCAAAGAAGCCTGAAAAATTCAGACTTTGACGGGATTCGAACCTGTGTCTCCCAGATATTAGTTAGGCGCTAAATATAGTTTATTTCATTTCAAACACTGCTTGGTTTATTCAAAAAGAAATTCATGGAATCGAATAATAAACTTTAAAAAGTACGATTCTATAGTTCAAGTACATATTGCTTTATCTATCCATCGATAAGTTTGAATTTTGTAGAAGGGTCGCAATTGGTACTTCGGATTCGGCGCCCCGATGGTCTATCATTGAGCTAAAGCAAAATGCAACATGTTCATTGATTCTGATCCTTCCTTTTAACGCTGGAGACGCCTGAAAATTCAAGTGACAAAGAAATATGTACACAGGGCAAAATTCCTAGTCTACCTCAAAGATACTCTCAAATGAGTAACACTAGCAAGGAGAAGGGCATACAAACTTAAGAAGACGATAAGCTAGCTATCTTTTGCAAACTACACAGTTCTTACAGTGTTTGAACTAGGTAAGCTCGAATCCAATTCTTTGTCTTCTTAGACCGGGAACAAGATTGAGAAACTACCGAGGAGTCGTTTTTTGATATCAGTTAAGAAAGCTTTGGTTTAAAATCTTACAACCATTCTTAAGTGTGATCACTTCAGGAGAATAAAAATATTTTGACCTGTTTTATTGATAAAGAAAATTTCTCCCTGGTTGGTTTTCACGCGATCCCGAAAGGTCAAAGAGAGACTTCTTTCCGATCTGAATTGCAAAATTTGAACTTGTTTTTCATGATTTTCTCTCACCTGCACACGCTAAAGAAAGCGCTGGTCATTTTTGAAAGTTCTACGCCTGTTCATGCCTCCCATCTCGATTTTAACCAAAAATTTAGGCAAGGATACCGTCGTTTCGATGATGGCCTCCGCAAAAAGCTACAGTACTCATAGGGGTCAGCTTGTTCAGCCTCTGCGTCACAAGACATGACGACAAGATGGTAACCAATATGGCACACTTGTTATTCTTCTCCGTTGTCGCAGGTAACTGTAATGTTGTATTGTAGATGGATGTCATCAATCAGTAGTATTATCTTTTGTTTCTTGATCATAAGGAATTTTCCCCACTTCTGCTTCGATTCGTAAAGAAACGAGTGGTTGTTAAATGTATATAAGACGAATTTTACCTCACGTAAAGTGCTGGCTCAGAAAGCAGCACGCGAGGACAAATACGCCTTCTGCTTTAATATGTAGGGTGAAACTGAGAACTGATCTATGATGCATTAAGTTCATCAGTCCCTTATATTTAAATAATCTTGTACGATGCTTAGATGTGCAAGCCTAATTGATGATTTTGAAGTTTGAGTAAGGTCGAAAGCTACTGCTATGAGAAGTCTTAAGAGATTTACGCTTCGATGGGACTCGAAACCATGCTTCCTACACACATCCTGCCAGCCGCTGAGCTATGAACCCATATGTTCTCAGCGAGGTAAATGCTATTGGTTTTTCGGTCAGAGAGGAAAGCTCGGTTTGGCCTAATGTTTCACTGGGCCTCCGGGTTCTTACTCTCCTAGGAGAAGGGGGAAGGGGTCCTTATTATTTTAGAGACCTCCTCATTTTGATGTGGTTGAAAAAGAGATAGTAGAGAAAGCTTGAGTTGAGGTCGTAAATTGCACAAGATAGCACTGAAACATTGTTAATACTTAAATTATATTCAGCTCGAGAGAAGGATTTTCAGTTCATCTGTTTAGTGTTCTTCGTTATTTCTATTATTGCTTCCTACTTAAAAGTTATCACAAACCAAAAATTTCAAAGAAGTTTATGGGGATTTGTTCAAACTTAAAATGATTTCAAGTAATGTCACGGTAGATGTTACCAATCCGTCAACATATTTTAGCAACTATTGGACCTCTTTACGATACTAATTCTACTGACTCTGAATGTTATGCAATAGTGTTACCAGCTCTCATTAGCTTTAGGTGGCTGGAAACAGTGTTTTTCCTATAATATTCTCCGACCGGTTATCTTCAGAGCGCTCAAAAACCCGTCAAACAGTTTTAGGAACTGTCTGGGAAAATCCTCCATTTAACATAATTTAACCAATGGAACTTAATTTAGAGCTCTCTCCGTAAAAGACGGCTAGAGTTAAGTGTTTAAAATTCTCTCAGCTACAAGGCCTTATTCAAAGAGAGGAAATCCTAAAGTTTTGGGAAAATATTTTCGGTTACTTTCCGAGACCGTCCCAGAACTTTTTGATGTGATTTCCCCATAACATTCACAGGATAATAGTGATTACTATGCCACGCCCACCATTTCATTATTTCATTTATAAATCCGTGAAGTGATGAATAAATGACTGTAAATGTATGAAGATCATATAGGTGAACTACGGATAAAGACGTAAATATGAAAGCGATCTTCGTAGTAATGAACATTGCTTGAGCAGTAGTAAAATTAAGGCCTAAAAAAATTCAGGCCGGTAGGGGATTTGAACCCACGACCTCTGCGATACGGGTGCAGTGCTCTACTGGTACAGGCCTTATTTTCACTATTGCTCAAGTAATGAACAGATCGGACGGCTTCGCGGTCGTCCGATTTTGTTAATCCCTCGTATGATTACAGACCGAACTGGACTCCACTCGGTCTTATTACCTTTATAAATACAACTTTGAGGGCAAGAGAAAGTGTTTTTTTTTATCTTGGATTAGAACTGTGCTAGAAAATGTAACAGCAAAGAATAATTTATTTCATCTTTGACCACCCCTCCCCCTTCCAAGAAGTTGTGGGCTAGTAGATTGACTGAGTGGCTTGAATGCCCTTACGGGTATAGGCCTATCAACTAAGAAATAACCCCCCAAAAATATATACTAGTCTTGTACCCAGACCTTTCACGGCCAAGCACTTGTAAGGTCCCTACACTTCAGTTACAGTCACACGGTAGGTCCTGAGTACGTGATTAAATATGTCCCTTTCAATTTTTTTCCCGCTCACAAGAACCGAGCCCTTCTCTGACTTCTTGCATAGGAATATATATATACCTCTCTAACAGCATTCCACCGAAACACACATTATTAAATGAAGTATGAAGTACATGAGAGACATGGTGGATGGCATTACTCTAGTCATGAGACGTAACAGAGGCATAAGTTAAAATCCAAGGAAGTGGTCTGCAGATTCAGGTGGAAAAATTCATACACAAAAGCAATGGTTGCCAAGTCTTACGTTAACCTTTTTCGTCATTTTTTCTATTTTCTCAGTTACCAAAATAAAGGTAATTCTTGAAATCTTGTTTGTTCGTGAATTACTGGCCCCATTCCTGGCTGAGTTGTACCCGGAGGTTAAGGAATCCATTTGGATATTGCTTTCTTCGACTGAGAGTAACTTGACATGGTCTTTTTCGTTCTGTTTAGGGTTTCTTGTCGTTCCAAACCTTAGAGAAAATTTAACCAAGCAAAGCTGGTATAAGATTCAATATACACGCCAAGGCTGTTAGAGAGCTTAAAATCAAAGTGGTGTGGATTGAACTTGGGCGAGATTATGGCGCGTAAGCTGGTCGTACTGTGTCATTTGAGCATAATTAGGCGAGGGTAAAGCGTAAAAGTTGGTCGCACTGTATTGGATGAGGGTTATTAGGCGAGAATAGGGCATATTAGCTGGTCGTAAAATGTCACTGCGCAATTAAGGGTAGTGAAAGCTCTGTTGTTAAGGATTGACATTTCGACTACCAGTGAGGAAGTCCACATGAAGTCAAGGTGCAAAAGTTGCCTCGCTCCCAACATGAGGCTTCGTCACTCAGTTGGTTGTAGCACCTTCCTAATGTCTAGAAGGTACGGTTCCAAATTCGATCGATGCCCGAAGTTTTAAGTCTTCTTGTTTTGCTTTGCTTTGGTTTTGCTTTTTAGTTTTGGTTTTTGATTGGTCTAAAAAAGAGACTCGTGCCATTCTCTAAACCAATCACACGCAAAATGGAAACCAATGGTGACATGGTCGCCCGCGTTTTCCCGCGCGTTTGACAACTTGCTTGGTTTTACTTTTGAGTTTTCGTTGGCTAACGATAATGCAAACGGCATCCGGTTGATTCGATACAAAGTCGTTTCGATACAAGTCGTTTTGATACAAGCAGAAGTCAATTCGTTTCACGCGTAAAGTCGATTCAAACCATGCAAACCTTTGATGTGACTGTCTGTTGTGATT